CCTTATTCATGGCTTTTTGGAGCATACACGTTGCCATATGGATTTGTTATTACAGTGTTCAAATTGCACCTGTTGAGAAAAGATGGTGTCTGAATTCCTCCCCCTGCTTCAGATCTAATAAGACAAGGCTTATGTAATTTATCCATCCATCTATTTGTCCATCTATCAATATAACCTCTTTGAAATTTTCCTCCAATCTTCTTATTTTTTTTCTCCATAACTCAGTTTTTCACCTGAAAGAAGCACTGCTATTTTTTGCTTGTTCTAGCAAAAGTAACATAATAAGTTCAGGAACAGACTGAACCTCTAGTAATTTGTAGTAATTTGTAACAAAGATTTCTCAGAATGTGACAAATTGTGAAAATTGATAACTGCATCAGTTAAATAAAGGAGATTATAATAAAATTAGTAGTCATAGAGTTAATATAGACAGGAGGTTTTACATTTAACTCGGTAAATTAAAGATAACACCCATCAGAGCGCATTGTTGATATCACCACTTACATGCAATTTTTTTCTGAGGGTAATCTGAAGTACAAGAAAAACAACTGCAGGTAACAGTTTATGCATTTATGGGGCCAATAATGGGAGCATTGGGCTCCTTTTGTTGACCCTTCTCTGTCACATTTTGCTTTTTCCCAGATGGGAAAGTACGCCCTGGACTGCCTGCTCCTCATCCTGCGGAGGGGGCATTCAAAGCCGCAGTATCTCATGTGTGGAGGAAGACATTCAAGGGCATATTAGCCCCGTGGAAGAATGGAAATGCATGTACACTCCAAAGATGCCTCTTGTCCAACCTTGCAATATATTTGACTGCCCAAAGTGGCTTGCTCAGGAATGGTCACCGGTAACCATCTTTGTGATTTTGTATTTTGTATACTGAAAACACATCTTCAATGCAGAGAATAATAGTTCAGTGAGCTTGATGAATTAGAAACTTTTATTCTTTTCCTTTCTCTGTTTCAAATCACACTATTTGTCTAAGTACCAAGGCTGTGAATTAATAAGATTTCACAGGGTTAGGGAGAATGATGGAAAAATAAATCAGATTTGTAATGTTGATTAATGATTCTCTATTAAGAATAGACTGCAAACGTAAATGCACACAATAAAAGCAGTAAGCTGTTCATGATCAGGTAACAGCATGTGTACTGCATCTTTTCAGCCAAAAATTGTGTGTCATAAATTTCTAATAATTTTCTAGAAATTTGTAGATCCATAAGTTCTGGATAAGCTCTGGACTGGGTTTTTATGCTTATTATTCTTTGTCCCTGACTCTCTTTCATTTTTCATGCAAGAAAATGCCTGTTTTTTTAATCTTGAATTTGGTTCTCACCACCCCGGGTTTTCTACAGTCAAGATGAGTTCTTAGAAGTTAAGCTATTTTATCCACAGATGAGGTGTTCTTTATTGACTGCAAAATGTTTAACAAGCTGCTATCTAAGAACAAAGTAACACTGGTCCTATCCATAGACTTTCCCACTGGTTGTGAGGTTTGATCTTGACCCGTCCAACCACTTCTGAAACAATCCACACAGGGGGAAAGAGTGATGTACCTTAGCAAAAATAAATGAAAAAAGATGTAAGAAAGTGTCTTTGGGAAGAAAGTCTGAATAGTTTCCCATTCTGTTTGGTGCCATGTTCCAAAATAGCTGAGTGTCACCTCTCTTAACACATAAGCTTCATTACTTTGTCCAAGCAAAGCAGAGTGGCTCTAGATGAAGCTGACAGGGTGTTACTAAGCATATCCATTTTGGGATGGATGGCCACAAGCCAAGTAGCCGGTGCTGAGAGTGTGGCACAGCAAGAGAATTCCAGAGGCTAAAAGACCAAGCCAAGTATATGTGCAGAACAAAAAGGCAAATATTTGTGTCGATATTATGTATTATCCATAACTGCTAAATATTATGAATAGTACATGAACATGGCTGGGTGATGTACGTGTATTTCTGTTGCACATTCTCTTTTTATGTATTGCTCCTACAACATACTGCAATCATTCCTTCATTTCTCCTCTTTTATTTTTCCAGTGCACTGTGACCTGTGGACAAGGGCTCAGATATCGCGTGGTCCTTTGCATTGATCACAGGGGGATGCATACAGGAGGCTGTAGCTCTAAAACAAAGCCACACATAAAAGAAGAATGCATTGTACCCACTCCTTGTTACAAACCCAAAGGTAATGAGAGAAAGATTCTTATGAATTTTTGTGTCTGTATGCTGACTAAATTACAGAAAATTCTGGGCTACAGAAATGCAAGTGATCTTAATTTCCCTAAACTAGAGACATAAACTCCATCATAAGAAAAGAATCAGTCCCTTTTGAAAAATGAATTGATATCTTGGTGAATATTAAGAGCATTTATTTTGTGAAATTAGCGTGACCTGTGGCCTGATGATGATCCAGGATAGAAAAATGGAAATTTGGAATTTTAATTTCTGTGCTCACTATCCTATGACAGACAAACTTGTCAATTTGCAAGGTACCAGTTTATCTGGAGCATGGGACTTCACTGTATCTGCCAGTCACCAAAGTGGCAAACTCAGATGCTGGCCCTCAGGAAAGCAAAGGGTATTTTGCACTGCGTTCTGCTGGAGGACATGAGCTCACTCAGTCTGCATCCCAGGATGAATAAAAGTCTCTGCTACCATGACTGAGCTTCATCTGGAGATGCAGTGGCCTTGCGCTTAGTTAACCAGCTGAATCTGTGAGGCTTTATCCATTTATCACATTTAGAACCCATGTAAAGAAAGCTGCTATCTGCTTGCAGCATGCAGTGTAAGCAAAATGCATTAAGATGCTGAAAACCAGATGATGCATACCACCCAGAAGTGAGTTCTGCCTAGGGAACGTGGAAGATGCAAGGCCAGCTAGGAAGGTTTGCTTGCATCTGTCATCTGTCAAGACATCCCTTCCAATGGGATTTATCTACTAACTCCACATGGCTGTTTCCTGGAGGTACACTCTTGCAATTGAGTGTCATCTTTACCAATTCTTGTGCTGCCCTTTGCAATACATAACATCATTAATGTCTGAGTAGAGATGACTCTCACTTTCTTCCATTTTCTCCCATGGGATGGAAAGCTTTTTATGCAACATGGTATGTTGCTAGGATTTGATTTTAGTTTTCCTCTTGGTTCTGTAATTTTTCCTCCATAATGCAAGTGGTAATATTTGAAGATACATGTACCTGAAAACTAAAGCATACTTTCTGAAAAGAGCTGGACCAGGTGGTCCCCAGAGGTCTCTTCTAATGCAAATTATTCTATTTATGTGATGGAAGTTTGTTTTTTTTAATGTCTTGAATCTAGCATTATAAATTAAAATTTAAATTTAATTGTTGTAGTAAAGTTCCTCAATTCTGTTAAATGTTTTAGTTTGCTTTTTCCTTCTATACCTGGAATAAAATAAAGCAGGAAAACAATGTTCTTTGCCGATTGAAATAGCAAAACAAAACATGTGGAATACTCTTTTTAACACTCTTTGCAAAAGAAAACCAGAATGCTAATAATTGATGTAATTTATTTCATTTTCTTTTATTCATGTACTGAGGCACTTTATCTTACAACAATAATGGGAAAATATAGGCTAACCCTAGATAAAATAGTAATTTTCAATCTTTACTGAGAATGTGCATTTATTTAATAAAACTTTCTATAAAATGTAGGATATAGTGTTTTTATACTCTCCTATTAAAGTAGAGATTTTACTTTAATCTCTAAAATTAAAAGTTCTTCATTAGCTTATATTAGGAGTGAATTTCACTCATTTTTTGTGAAAGCACACTGTACAACGTCAGCATTCTCATCCTCCAAATTATTTTACAGCATTTATTGATTTTATCTCTCTCCTGCTGAATACACATTTTTAAAAAACAAAAGTTATTTAAAAAGTCACACAGCAGACAACTGTACATGAGAGCTTTTGGTTTTTACAAGCACTTGAATCTGAGGGAAAAAAGCATAGAAGTAATATCTGGCTTTCCAAAACTCATAAAATGGGCTTCAGTGCATATAAATAGAACTATCTCCTACATATTTTCGATAACATAAGTGGTAAAATATAGATTAAACTAAGAGCAATGCTGGCAAATATTCATCCTCAAATGGCACTAGTAAATATGTTAGACTAAGAACTTGGCAAGGTATTTCTGGGAGAGAGGCATAGTTATTAAATCGCTGTCCCTTCTTTCCTCAGTTAACATCTTGCTCCAAGAAAATTTGCTTGACAAAAGTTGCAGTAGCTGTGAAATCAAGTTGTTAATAATTTTTCCCATGATAAAACTAACAGTTTTCAAATTTCCTGTGTATGCATGAAAGGTTCCTTCTTATTCACAATGAAGTTATTGAAAAATCTTAAATATTCTGAATTATATTAATCTATTCCTGTTGATGTGTACAAATCTACACATTACCTAAATCAAAAAGGTCTAGGTGGTTTGTGAGTGGCCAGTAAGCCTGGTCGTGGTTCTCTTCCATGTTCTAAGTTTCATTCTTCTGTATTTGTGTTTTTTTCTTTATCCTGACCCAAAATATTTTGTTAATATGCAGAGCTTATTTTCAAATTATGGTGCCAAATTTGCTCTTACATTATGCCCCTGCAGAGTTAAAACAGTTCCATTTCAGCCTTCAGCTGAAGTGCTCCACTTTGACACTGCATGAGAGCAGAATTTGGCTGAAAGAGTTGAATGGCCCTGCACTCCCAAGAACAGAGCAATTCATTATGTTGTGTGCATATCCTGGATGAGAGAAAAAGCAGCCCCACTGTTTTTCATCAGAAATGACAGAAAAAGTATCAGGCTCATTTTTTAAATTCACATAGCTGATGAACTGATAAAGTTGAAAAGTATAGCTTGACCATTTTATTACAGTTTCTCGTTTTTTTTTGGGTATCACTCATCAAATCAGGATTTTCTTCCTTTTTGTCATCTATCAAAAGCAGGATTAAGGCATCCTGTGAAATTCTAAAATTCAAGCATAAGCACAAGGATTTTATATGTTTTCCTTCAAAGCATCAGTGGGGGTCATTACACTTCCAAGTCTCACTCTGAAAAATACTTGCTAAAGTGTTCAGTTTAGTAGCCCATTTGCATCATCTGTCAAGTAACTATCTGGTCATATAACTAACCTTGCGACCTTTATAATCCAGCTGACAACTGCATGATAAAAATGCCATAATTCCATCCCTCTCCTCCTTTCTCTTCTTGAGCTCAATCTCCATGTGAAAGGAGGCACGTGTATATTCCAGGCACACTCACTGAAAAAGCAAAGGCTGGCACACATGGGAGCATTGCTGTGCATGGTTTCTGTTTTCACGTACTTGCATTTGTTCTGTAGAGAAACTTCCCGTGGAAGCAAAGTTGCCGTGGTACAAACAAGCTCAAGAGCTGGAAGAAGGAGCAGTGGTGTCTGAAGAACCTTCGTAAGTCTTAAAAAAATTTTCACAGCAGGCACGTGTGACATGAGGATCTGAAGCCTGTTCTGAACTGATATGGTCTCTTGAAATTATATTTGGCTTTTATTAGAGGATAAAGGCCAAATCTAGCCCCATGGAAATCGGAAGATTTAAGGCTGTGTCATATTTAGGTGCGAAGAGGCAGAGTTTAAGAGGACAGATGCACACTGAATTTGAACATATACATTTATGTTTTATTTAAGTTCATTTACAGTGATATTACAGTAAGATTCTGTCTGCCTGAATTAGTTTTACAGTCCCCACTACCACTGTATCTCAGCGTTCAGCAGCTTTATTTATTGTCAAAATGCTCCTGCGTAGTAACAGGTAAAATACTGGGCAGCCAATGAAGAAATCCTCCCCAGGAATATTGTGATATCAGTTAATGATGTGAATTAATTTTAACAGAAAATAAACTAGAACCCCAGAGCTGTGGTTTGTATTTCTGTATTTCCACTTCCCTTCTTTCATGG